TTCAGCAAATGTTTACTAAGCACCTAACTTAGCCTGTTGGGGAGAAAATGAATAATTAATTCTACCTTGCCCAGCCTACTCACCTGGGTATAACTCATATACATGACATTAACAGTCGTCATTTAATTAGGTATTCTCATACTGGAGTCTAATCCAGTGAAACATTTTTCTTTCATCAAGATTACTTTGGCAGCCTTGTTCTGCATTCAGCAGTCACTCAAATAATTGCAGATAATTTAATAAACCGGAAAAACACTAGGGTCAGGAAAGGCTTTGTTAAAAAAAAAAAAAAAAAGGCTCATATTCCCACCCCCAATTTATCTTCTCCTCTTTCAAGGAGGGTGCTGTGTGAGGCCCCTAACATTTACTCAGTCTGAACAGGGAGCAAAGCCCTGGTTGTTTAAGGGTAAGGAGGTAAATAAGAATCTTGCCCTCAAGAAGTTTATAATCCAGTCTTCAGTGTTTTACTTTTTCCTCCTGGTGTTGCCAATGGAACTCTCTGAACCAAACTTTGCACTTTATACTCACTCAGTAGAGACTCAAGAATTCTGATGACAAATGGTCTAAAGTGGTAGTTCTCAGGAAGGAGACACTTTGGCCCCATTTGGCAATAGCTGGAGACATTTTTGTCTGTCACAAGTGGAGGGTGCTACTGGCATCTAGTGGGTAGAGGCCAGGTATGCCGCTAAACATCATACAATGCACAGGACATCCTCCACCACGACAAAGAACACCCACCCACAGTGTCGATAGTGCCTAGGTGGAGAAAACCTGCACGAAAGGTTCCGTCCCAGGTAAAGCGGCTCTTCTCTTTGAACAGAAGTCTCTGTCCATGTGCTACTGACAGACATGCCTTCCCCTTACCTTGCAGTTAGTGTACCACAGTGCCAGAATGAGGTTCCTCAAAGCCAGGTACATGGTGGGGTCTCGGGAATACTCTGGGAACTCATAGAGCTCATCCAGCTCCATCACATCTGGCCTCACGCACAGGGCTTTGCCACACTCGTTGGGCTGGTAGAAAGGCTGGAAGTACCGGTTCATGTCTGGAACTGACAGAAGCACAAATGGGCAAATCCTACAAGCTGTAACTTCCCAATCTAAGCAGAAGCAAACCAAAAAGGACAGCCTCGACAAACGCCAGTCTGCCCTACACAAGTATTTCTGCTTCCTCCATCCAGTAAGGCAAAACATGCATGAACTAAACAAATATTTCTTCCATTCTTTCTTCACAAATTTAATTTCCATGATATGGAAATTTTTTTTAAAGTTGTAATTGTATTAAAAAAACACATACCATAAAATCTACCATCTTAACCATGTTTAAGTGCACAGTTCAGTAATGTTAAATATATTCACATCATTGTGCAACAGAGCTCCAGAACTTTGATGTCTTGCAAGACTGAAACTCTGTACCTACCGAACACCAACTTCCCATGTAAATCTATTTAAAAGGTAACTTCCATTGGAATTCTTCTGATTATAAAATCAATAGGTTCGGGGAAGTAAATAACAATCACTAACTTCTAATAATGCTTGAGTGGGAGTTTACAGTCTATCAATGTTGTTTCTATGAACAGATAATATTAATAGACAGCTTTTTTATAAAGCAGAAATGCTATAAAAATGCTATTTTCTAAACTGCTTTTTAAAATGTATGACATCATGAACATTTTCCCATGTTACTAAATAGGACTTCGATGGACATATATTTTCTTATTTATGATTTAACCATTCCCCTACGGCTGGGCATTTAAACTTCATCCAATTATTTACTATTATAAGCAATGCCACACAAATTTATTTGCACATAAGTCTTTGGACTTACTTTTGAGAATTTACTTTGATAATTCAGTTAAGATAAACTCCTAAGGTTAAAGGGTATCTATTTTAAGGTTTTCGAATCATGCTGTTAAATTATCCTTCACAAATGTACACGCCCACTAATGGTGTTTGAGTGGTTTCATTCTACCTTCACTAACAATGGGATTTTTCACTTCAGCTTTGATTTTTTACCTCAGCTATGTTTTTAGAGGGCTTAATGTTATTAGATAAAAACCTTGAGTGAGATACAGCCACAAGGTCAAAATCTATTTGCGCCATTAAAAATTAAGTTTGTTATTATGCAGGCAGGAGATCTAATATTCTTGCTTGCACACCAAGAATTCTCATGTAGTATTTTAAAGATCCCTTTAAAATAAACGGTCAACAGCATGCCTGCTCTGAACTGAAGTTTTGAATTTTTTCAAAGAGCGGATCATTTTCCTGAGACTATCAAAGGCGTAATTAGGAACACAAAGACTCATAGAGAAAAAAGAAGGGCTGCTCACATAGTCACAACTTTCTTCCGGTATGCTACAGCATGTATCATCATCAACTTATACAGTTATCCAACTTTATAAATACTCATTAAATTCCATAGATATGATTCCTGGACAAGCGTCTTTCCAAATTACTGAGGAAAAAATTAACTGCACAATATACGCAAATGATATGGCTGATCCACAGCATAACCAAATCCATGAAATAATGAGGTGCTTTATATCACATGTTGCACGCATTTAGAAAGTCTTTTCCATTTGGCTCTCCCAAATGTTTCCAGGAAATGAACAAGGGAAAAGAGGAAACACGGGGTACCAAGACCAGCTCTTACCCAGCACAGACGGGACCGCACTGGAGTGTTCCAGCTTCCCGGGACTGGTGTCACTGGCTGCACGGTTTGTGCTGGTGCAGGAGGGGCTCATGCCAACACAGTCAGGGTAGTAGGCAGAGAGCAGGGGTGCTGCCACACTGTCTTTCAGCAAAGGAGGTAGAATGAGCATGGAGTACCACCAGTGGTTGGAAACTTCCGACACTCTCTGAAATGGACAGAGCAAGACAAAGAGGGACAATGACAGACAAGAAATGTACATGCAGATTCAGCCAAGCGCAGATGATTTTCTTCAAGGCATTCATCCTTAATCCTTCTACTTTGCCTTCCCTCACTCGACAATCCTACACCAGAGTTCTGCACAGATTTAGAAACAAAAGTGTCTGGCGATATCTGGAGAGCATGTTTCCTAAGCAGAGAAAGTTCTTTCAGATATATAGCAATAGCCGCTCCCTATCCCCTAATCCCTCCTCCAAAAACCCACCGAATCCAGGTCTTAAAGCTGCTTCTATCTACTACATCGACATGTTTAAGTGTGACATGACGAACTTCCTTCTGTTCAGTAATCATTTATCATCCACCCCCTTTTTTACTGAGGACCTGAAGATAACTGAAATTGTAAAACTGGGCAGAAAAAGAGTTCTAACTAGTGGGCACGCATTACATTAATGCTTTTTGCCACAGGCTACTAAAAAACTTTCAGAGGAAAAAGTATACTACAACCACCAAAATAAGATGCTAAATGTGAAAGTGGACCAAAAAAGCTATTTTTGGTCCTAACATATATGATCATATTCCAGAGTTGACTGAACATATGGAGTCATTGGATTAAAACATCCCCATGATGACTAACTACTGCAATAAAAATAAAATTTGGTTTAAAAAGCAACACTGCCACAAATCCTATGTTAGATAGCCTTTTCTAAACGTGATCTAGAATGTATGCTCCAAGAAGTCTAAGAATCTGATACAGGAGAACCTTGAGCTCAGGGTCCCTTTGATGTTAGTTATCCAGACTCCCAGCAAATGCCACTTGCCATAAAGCTGGGGTTTGTGAACTCGAGGTCTACAGGGTGAACTCCCTGCAAACTCATTTTATTTGCCCTGCAGATTTCAGAGTCCAAATCTGGGACAAGCATTTTTCAGATTACTACAAGCCCCATCACCCCCTATAAATTACTCGCAGCTGCTTCACACATTCATTTTACTTGCCTGGCCCAAAAGCATTTCAGTGTGTAATCTTTTGTTCTCAAAGCTTGTTTTAGGTTTGGCTACCCTTGACCAGCTTGTGCTGTACCAAAACGAAGGGAAGCTTCAGTTCCTTCCTCAAACCACCAGTACCACCTCTATGGACACGTTATCTGAGCTCAGCCCCAAGGAGAGAGTAAACTGGTGTTCAGATCCTGACACTCCAAATGGACCACACAGAGGGCAGAATGTAGGTGCCTTAAGAACTCAAGCTCTTCCATTCCCTTCTACTTCCTGGCTCTTGCAGCTATGTTGGTAAATTGAGTCAGAACCTAGACGAGATCTTGCCATCTTATTACCTCTTCCCAGTTTTTCCTTTCCCCTAGAAACCCACCTGAGGGTGCTCCAACCAGCCTGTGTACTAGAATGAGAAAAACTCAAAACTGACTAATAAACTAGCACTTGATCTTGCTATTCCAAGTGTGGTCTCTCAACACACTCACCATTACTGGAAACCTGGCTATAAATTTGTCCATATGCCTCAAAAATCCCCCTCTCACCTTGAATACACATACCACTGAAGAAATTGTACTTGATGTAGTGAGTCTATTATTACAGTTAATGAAATACCAATCCCCAAATTCACGTCCACGCAGAACCTCAGAATGTGACTTTTTTTGGAAACAAGGTCTTTGCAGATGTCATTAGTTACACTGGAGTAGAGTGAGCCCTAAATTCGCTATGGGTAGTGTTCTTATGAGAGGAGGAGAGACATAGAGCCAGAGGAGACACATAGGAAGAGGGTCATGTGATAACGGAGGCAGAGATTGGAGTGATACCTCTATAAGCCAAGGGATGCCAAGGATTGCTGGCAACATCAGAAGCTGGAAGAGGCAGGAAAGATCTTCCCCTAGAGCCTTTGAGGGGATGGGGCACAGCCTGCTAATGGCTTAATTTTGGACTTATAGCCTCTGGAATGATAAGACAATAATCTTCTGTTGTTTTAAGCTACCCAGTTTGTGATAATTTATTAGGAAACTAATACAGGCAAAGTTCAGAAGCTGCTTTAAAAGTGAACCTAGAATCCACAGAAATAGAAAAGGGGTGAGGTAGGTGACATGGCTCTAAACCTGCTCCTGAGTCTCTCTTACACGAATGCAAAAATAAATAACTGGCAGATGAACATGCGGGGACTCTTCCAAACTTTTTAAAGTTCTTATATCCCAAGAATATGGCTTCTGTTCTAAAGTTCAAATTCTTCTACATGGTCTGAACATTAGGGGACAGATTCATAGAGTATTTTAACAGTATGTGAAGTTGTTTTTTCTTTCCTTGTATTATCTCGTCCCGTCTACCTTAAATCCAGAGATTGTTTGGGCCACTGCTTTACTAAGGAAATGTTTGAGGGTACAAATAATTATTAAAAATATATGTATGTGTGTCTCATATAAATTTAAAGTAGACTTGCTAGATGTCTCCCTTTGCCTAAAAATCAGTCACAGTCTCTGAGTTCCAGATATCTAGAAAAACTGCAAGTTAATAATCTTAAATCACTAAAATGCAGAATAAGTGAGAATCTCAAAATTTTAGGAACTCAGAATTTTCAAAAGCCATTTTTCTGAAACAGCCATTGGATTTGGTTATATAGTCCATGGAGTTTGCCAGCTCAGGTAGCAAAGTTTCACAAGACAAATGAAATGTGACGAGGATTTGCCAGCTGGAAATACTACTTTCCCTTCCATAGTAGGGACAGGTCAAAGCAGTCACACCAAAGTCAAAATACACAAGAACAATCTCGCAGCTTAATCTGGGCCTCAATTATGGGCTTCTTGTTCTTTTCTTAAAAGGATTCAAGTGGAGATAAGGTCATAAAGTTACCCATGAAAAACAAGTATAACCAATCTGTCCTTACAGTAAGGCAAGGTAGCAGTTTCTTCCTTTTTATTTCCTTTTTATGTAAAAGCAATACAACTTTACTTTTCTTCTAAGTTGAAAATACCACTATTGCTCGCATTTTCACATTGTTATCACGTTAGCATAAAAAGCCTCTGATTGGCAACCAAAGAGACAGAAACTCACAAAGCTGTCAGTCATTTACGTAGAGTACTTATCCTTTAAGGTACAAAGAAATTCAATCCAGAACATGCAGAAATACTCACTAGATCCTCTGGGAGGGAACAATGATCTGAGGTCTCGGGCTGCAAAGGAAAGCCAAGTGTTAAGTTTATTTATACTGGCAAAGAAAAAAGTGTGATAAAACACTATATGACTGAGCATGAGGGGAAGGGTGCTCTCTCACAAGAATGTCCTGGGTGGAAATCTAAAGAAATGACGACTCTGGAGAGCAATCTGACAAAATACGAAAATTTAAATGCACTGTAACTTGGCACAACTTTATATGACTTAAGACACACATACTGTTTGTCCAGCAATTCTAACCATTTTTTATATTTTCTAGAGAGACCCCATACATGTACACCAACAGAAGTTTTAGAAAATGTTCAAAGGAGAATTATTTGTAATAGAAAAAAGCAAAACACAACCCAGAGGTCCACCGAGGGTAGAATGGATAAATAAACTATTTTATTCAAATCAGGGCCCACTCGGCCCTGATTGTGGCAATGAGAACGAACTATGACCATATACTACAATGCGGATGAACCTCACAGACATAACGGTGAGAGAATGCAGCCAGATTCAAAAGAAAACACTGTATGATTCCATTTACGCAAAGTTCCAAAGGAAGCAAACATCCGTAATGTTTTAAGTCAGAATAGTAAGTGGGGGAGTAAGGGATGGAGACTGAGTGAAAGGGGGTGCCAGGGGTTTTCTGAGGGGCTGGTAAGTGTTCGATTTATCAGGAGCTGGATAAACAAGGACTTTGTGAAAATTCAGAATTGTGTTTGAAAGTTATAAATCAATTAAAAAGTTGCCTAAGGAAAGGGAGGACTGGCATACCATATGGCCTAGCAAACCTGACGCTTGGAATACGTCCTAGAGCAACTCCTGCATGTGTGCACTGGGAGAGGCATGCATACTAGAAACAACCCTCATGTGCATAAGCAGAATAGATACATTGTGGTAGATTCGCACGATGCAATACTACACAGCAGGGAAATCATACAATGCAATATTACACAGCAGGGAAAATTAATGGACCAGAGTTTTAGGCAACAACACAAATTCATGTGAAAAACCTCCATGTTGAGGGAAAGGAGCAAGCTGCATAAGAATACAAACAATGCGATATAATTTATAACCAGTACAAGAACTATGCGAAACTTCACATGTTGTTCAGGGTTTGGAAAATGTGTATTAACTCTGTAACAAAAGGCAGAGGAATAAGTACAAAATTTGCAATACTGTTTATCTTTTGCAGGGGAGGGAAGATAAGCTACTGAGGGGCATGCAAGGGATGACAAAGGCACTGGCAATTCCTGTTTCTAAAACTGGGTGCTGGGTACTGTTTGCTTTCTTTATTCCTTACACACAAATTATAAATTCTCTTTTGTGTCTAAGAATTACTTCATATTAAAACAATTGTATATTCTCTTTGATGTAGAAATTTCATTTCTAGGAATTGATCCTATACATATACTGAAAAATGGCATAGATATAAAGCTATCACTGCAGCACTGTCCTCAATGGTAAACATTTAAAAGTCACCTAAATGCTCTCAGTTGCACTAAATTCATCAAGATACATCCATTCAGTGGACTATTTATTATATCGTTTTTAAAGAGAAAGAGATCATTAGGTCCTGAGATGGAAGCATCTTTAAGATATATTAATGACAAAAGCAAGCTCCAAAACAGTGTGAATATTTTGATACCATTCTTTTCAATGTCGTTTTCAAATAAACCTTTTCAGACTTTGTCCTTGACAGAATACCAAGCTGAAAACTAAAGGGACTCTGGATCGATAAACACCATTTAAATAAATATTTCAAGAGTTCAGGCTATAGATAGTAATCAATTGAGACTGCAGCCGCAGCGTCTCAAAGAAATTCTTGGCCCAGGTAGGGAAGAGATGTAAAACATGATACAGTACTGAGAAGCTGGAATTTAAGAAGACCATGAAGCCTTCAACTTTAAGGCAGTTGAGAGGGGAGAAATGCAATTGTTTTCAAAAGCTTAAGGAATCTGACACCTCTGAGTCCTCTGGGGGAGGGGAAAAAGCTCAAGATGTTAAAATACATCCAACCATGTGATGAATCAAAATAAACAACTTGGGATAGAAGGAACTGTGGTAAGAGAAACTGTGGGGAGCAGTAAACCCATGTAAATAAATAGAAGTGTGAGCAACGGAGGATGTATGTTTACAGAAAATAAATGACACGACATTTACTCCAACAGAGTAAATTAAACTAAAAAACAAAATGACAAAACTAACAAAAATTGGGAGAGAGGAAAAGGGAAGATGGGCTGAAGTAATTTACTGTAATTTACTTTTTCCACTTTCACAGCAAGGTGTCAATACCTAAAGTTGAAACATGCAATTAAAAAACAATGATTCCGACCTCTTAACATCTTCATCATGTTTTCTTAACCTTTTAGGGAGTTTTTAGAAATTACTCTTTCTAGAAACATAAAAATAATTAATCTATGTTCAGCAATTTATTTCACGTTGGCTTCTTTTTCTGATTTAAATTTTTGTTGTATTAAACCAGCATGTATAGTACCATGTCTTAATATGAAATTATTTACATACCAGGCCTTCTCTGTATATGTATATATGCAAGAATACTCTTAAGTGGATCTCATTTACTGATAGTTACTTCATGATGACAACTGCATGAACTCTTTTCTGCTATCATCTTTGTTCTTTTCTATCTTGCTTAAATTTTTCAGTGATGAATACATATCATTTGGCTAAAAATGAACTCATGCTGAAGAAAACCTTAAGACTTTTCAAAAACTACTTAAATTGAAAAACTGAAAAGGACAACTACCACCCAAAGACAAATCAAGTTAAATAAAAAAAAGACAAGGAAAATTTGAACAATTAGTAGAGATACCTCCACCGTCAGCAGGTAAGAGAGATTATGAATAACTCCAAATGATAGCTAAACCAAAGCTAGTCGAAGCACAGTAAAAAAATGATTCTAATATAAACTTTTTATGTAAAATCACACCTAATATTTAGTAACATAACAATATGCAAGTCATCCAAAATATTTTTTAATTATTTAGAATGACTGTTTAGAAACTTTGCAGAAATACATTGAGTGAAAAGGCCCAATATTTTCGAATGCTCTTGGCTGAACTTGACTTTATATTATAATTAAATGCCACCGAGTCTACTTTTAACTTAAGAAATAATCTGGGGTACAAGTGCTAGTCAAGTTCAGTGTAGTCATGACAAGTTTCGGCTAGCTGGACATGCTCCCCTTTGCCTCACAAACTCATGTACCTTCACTACTCAAAACCTAGTTCCTATCAGCAGACCCACTCAGCCTGGAAAATAAATTAAGCACACCCCCGCTCACCCCCCACCGCACCTCCAAAAAAAAGCCCCAGTGTAGCCCTACCCATTATATTTTCCTCTGTCCTTCAGAGGGGACTTCTACTCTGAAGATTGAGCTCGAGAATCAATTCAGGGCTAAAATCAAAGGTTTTAGAACAAGACTTGTTAATTCCAAGACCCTGGTTTCTTGGAATTAGATCTGTGCTTTCTACCCTTCACTCTCGAATTACTGACATCAAAAATAAAACAAGGATATCACCATAGATCTCACCAACATTAAAAGAATAAGGCAACACAGCAAACAACTTTAACAAATTTGACAATTAGATGAAACAAATTTCTTGAAAAACACAGCTTTCTAAAACTGGTAGAATAAACTATCTGAATAGCCATGTATCTGTTAAAGAAGTTGAATTTGTAATTTCAAAACTTCTCACACACACACAAAAAAAACCAGCCCAAATGACTTCACTAGTGAATTGTATCAAATACTAAAGAAGAAATAATATCAACCTTACTCAAACTCTTTAACAAAATAGAGAAGAAAGATATATTTCTGAATTCATTTTATGGAGCCAGCATAACTCAGGGACAGCAGAATCTGATAAGAACATTACAAGAAAATAAAATGACAGTATTCATCATGAACACAGATGTAAAACTCTTTAGCAAAATATTATTAGCAAACTGAATCCAACAATTCATTAAAAAGATAATACATTAAGAACAAGTGAGTTTTTTTTTCTGGAATGCCAAGGTTGTTTCAACATTCCAGAATCAGTGTAATTCACCACACTAACAAATTAAAGAAGAAAAGCCATATGATCATAAAAGATGAAGAAAAAAGAAAAAAAATATTTGACAAAACCCAACATCCATTCATAATAAAAAGTTCTCAGCAAACTAAGAATAGAAAAGAATTTCTTCAATCCAATAAAAGGCATCTATGAAAAGCTACAGTCAACACCACACATAATAATAAAATACTGAACACATTTCTGCTATGGTCAGGAACAAGGCAAGGATGTCTGCTCTCCAAATTTTATTCAACACTGTCCTGGTAGTCCCGTCCTGACCAATGTAATAAGACAAGAAAAAGAGCAAAAAGACTCAGTTATTAAAAAAGCAAAACAGTCTTTATTCACAATTGATGTGATTATAGAAAACCCAAAGGAATCTACAAAATGATTCTGAAATTTAATAAATGAACTCAACAAGGAGAGATATACCACACTTATCGGTCAGAACAGGGATTGGGAAATGTTTTCTATAAAGAGCCAGATAGTAATTATTTTAGCTTCTGTGGATCATATGGTCTCTGTCACAACCATTCTGCCACTGCAGCATGAAAGCAGCCACAGATAATACACAATGAATGTATAAAACCTTATTTTAAAACAGGCAGGGGGCCAGATTTGGCCCATAGTTTGCTGACCCCTCGATTAGAAGACAGAAAAATGTAAGGATGTCAATTCTCCTTAAAATTATCTATAGATTCAATGCATTACAGGGGCTTTTTTGTAGAAATTTACATGCTGATAATAAAATTCATATGGTAATGTAAATGACCTAGAATAGCCAAAGCAGTCTTGAAAATGAAAAAGTCAGAAGAATTTGCACTACCTGATTTTAAGACAACTTATATAAATACAATAATCAAAACAACAGAGTACTGAATTAAGAATAAACCAAGACATCAATGGAATAGAGTCCAGAAACAGACCAATGTGCATGGCCAACTGAATTTTTGACAGCTGAGCCAAGATAATTCAGTGGGGAAAAAAAGACAGTCTTTTCAGCAAATGGTAGTGAACATTTAAATATTTATAATAAAAAAATGGAATCATGGCTTATACCTCACATCAAAACCAAAAATTAACATGAAATAGATTAGTAAAAGCTAAAACTATAAAGCTCCTCAAAGAGAACACAGAAGACTATCTGTGTAAGCGAAGTAGTCAGTGATTTCTCGTAAAAAGTACAAAAAGTTATAATGGATAAACTAGGCTTCAAAAGTAGAAAATGCTCATCGAAACACTATTCAGAAAATGAAAGGGTAAGACAAAGACTGGGAAAAAAATCTTCAAGATCATATCTCATATCCAGATTACATAGTAAAGATAAAAAAACCCAATTTTTAAAAAAGATTTGAACAGATGTTTCTCTAAAGACAAAGTATGAATGACCAATAAACATATGAAAGGATGCTCGACATCACTAGTCATTAGGGAAATGAAAATTAAAAACACAGTGACATACCAGTACATACCCACTAGAATAGCTAAAATTTTAAAAAAAGAGTAACACCACCAAATGTTGTAACATGATACAACCGTGAAAAACTATTTAGCAGTTTCTTAAGTATAAATTTACCATATGACCGAGCAATTCCACTCCTATGTATTTACCTTTAAGAAACAAACACGGGTCCACAAAAACACTTGCACAGAATATTCACTAGTTTTATTTATAATAACAAAAAACTGAAAACACCATAAATGCCTTTCAACAGGAGAATGGTTAAACAAATTGTGGTATACCCACATAATGGAATACTACTCAGAAACAAAAGGTAAAAGCTATTGATCTATGCAACAACACAGATAAATTTCTAAAATAATTTTACTCAGTGAAAGAAACCAAACACAAAAGAGTATATATTGGCTAATTCATTTTTATGAAATTTAAGAGTAAGCAAAACTCTGCTTAGGGCATAGAAATCAGAACTGTGATTGCCTCTGGTGGGAGGGAAGGAAATAAACAGAATTTTTAGAGTAAATAATGTGTATCTTACTTGGGGTATTAGTTACATCCAAACTCAGTGAAATTCATTTAAGATCTGTACATATAATTATAGTATGTACGTGTACCTCAATAAAAAAACAAGATGCAATTTTACATCTATTAAAAATACCACCATTCAATGCAGGTAAAATAAAATGATCACTCTGCACAATAAATCTTTAAACCTTTAAAAAGTAGTTTAGAAATCTGTATCAAGAGACTTAAAAAACTTGCCTACCAGAAATATGTAATCAAATGCATAAAAAAGTTTTAGTATAATAAATCTCTATGCGTGCTTACCTATTAGGGTGGGAAGGAGGAAATGGTTAAGGAAGACTTTCACTTTTTATCTGTATATTACGTGTGTGTATATATTTATATATACATATACATATATTCGATTTACTTTTTTTAAACCCTGAGATTATATTCATGTCATACTTACGTAAAATTTAAAATGAACAATATAGTTCCTAAATGTTCATACCCTTTTTCTCATCATTTCACTTAGCAAAATCTTCCAAATATGTTTATAATAATTATGAGTTGCTTTAATAATATCTATATCTTAAATCTCAGGTTTTAAAAAACTTGATCATAAACTTTATGAAACTTTTCATTATTCTTTAAAAAGGGAAATATTTGAACTAAGAAAACATTTTTCCAGCGATGATTGCATATCTTTGTGAATATACCATAAAGCATTGATTGTACATTTTAAAAGGGTGAATTTTATGGTATGTGAATTACATCTCAAATTTTAAGAAAGTATTTTATTCTTGAGATTACAATGACTCCTAACATTCTTTAATGTACTGAAGGAAATAGGGACATGTGTAGATTAATGCTTTAACATATTAAAAGAAATTACACATTTTAAACACTAAGTAATTGCCAAATGTCACAAGAGGCACATTATACTAACTATGGCAGATTCTTAATTGCCCAAACATATCCGGTCATCCCTTCCTCCTGGTTTTGTCTGATATTGCAACATGCTCCGTTATAAAATATTTTCTTCCTTTGTATTTACTGTTGTTTAAAGTTACTGCATGATCCTGTTCTAGCCAACAAAATATAAATAGAAATCTATCATTGGAACTTCCAGGAAAGCTCCTATTTTTCCAATAAGGTGGGAGACACTCAGCTGGCACACCCCTCTTGCCCTCTGCCTCTCACATATTTACTGCTTAGAATGTGGACACAATGATTGATGGTGTAGCAACCATCCTGTGGCTGAACCATCTTTGGCGGAACTAGAAACTATGACCTCCTTGAGCAACAACACCAACCCTGGACAGCCTATTTCCCAACTACTCAAAGGAGAAAACTAAAATCCTTAATTGGTTAAGCCATTGTAGTCAGAGTTCTGTTATATGTGGACCAATACAACTCTGATACAAAGATCGAAATAAAATAAATGGAAAATATACATCATTACTATTTACTGACAACTAAATTAACCTACCAATTAATTCAAAAGGAAAATCAACAGAGATCATACCTTAGCAGCAGTATTTGGTTTCATACCACAGCGGTAGGTCTTAGCTATCTGTGGAGTAAGCTGGATTTCCTTGGTAAGTTGCCTCCATTTTCTACAATCAGGTTTTGTACACTGAACCTAGATGGAAAGCAACATGTCAAGGTCAATGAGTTGGCTGATCTGTGATCAATGAGAGCCTGTGTTTCTCTCATCCATCACTCACTCTGGCATCTTCTCCACATAATCTGACCAACCTTTTAGTACTTCTAAGTACTTTTTCTTTCCCCTTTGCATGACTATCAGCCATATAATCCACTTTTACCCCATTAGGGTAATTTCTGACCCAATACTAGCTCAGGCACCAGGAAAGTACAAAGGGAATCTGACTACTCTTGTCAGAAAGGTTTTCCGGCTCTAATCTAAGGAAATAATCAGAGGTAAATTTAGTTAGTTACTCAAAGGACATATACACTAAATGAAATGTGTGGTACCCTGGATAGGATTCTGGTAGAGTAAAAAGACACTAATGAAAAAAACTGATGAAATTCAAATGTAGTTATTAGTACTGTACCAATGTTAATTTTTTAGTTTGACAAATAATCACGATGTGTTAGATGATAACATTAGGAAAAACTGATGGGAACTCTCTGTATTATCTTTGTATTTTTTCTGTAAATTTAAAATCATTCCAAAATAACAAGTTTATTTTTTTTAAAAAAGCGTGCAGATACCCATAAGCAAAAGAATAAAGTTGCATCCGCACTTCGCACATATCCAAAAATTAACTCAAGATGGAGCAAACATCTTAATGTAAGAGATAAAATGATAAAACCCTTAGAAGAAAACATAGGAGTCAGTCTTTATGACTTCATAATTGGCAATAGATTCTTAGATATGACACCAAAAGCACAAGTAACAACAAAAAAGTGGATAAATTGAACTTCACCAAAACTGGAAACTTTTGTGCATCAAAAGACACAAAGTAAAAAGACCACTTAAAGAGAAAATATTTGCAAATCATATATCTAATAAAGGTTTAGTATCCAAAATACATAAAGAACTCTTATAACCCAACTATAAGACCAAAAAGAAAAAAAAAATTTAAAAATGAGCAAAGATTTGAACAGATATTTCTTCAAAGACATATAAATGGCCAACAAACACATGAAAAGACCCATTAGTCATCAGAGAAATGCAAATCAAAACCACAATGAGATACCACTTTGCATCCACTAGAATAGCTAGAGCAAAAAAAAAAGGAAAACTAGAATTGGTAATGATGTGGAGAAATTTAAACCCTTATACATTGCTGATAGGAATGAAAGATGGTGCAGCAGTTAGCTAAATAAAATAGTTTGCTAGTCTCTCTCAAAAATTAAACATAGAACGTGACCTAACAATTTTATTCCTAGGTATATATTGAAAACAGGTATTCAAATAAATATCTGTACACAAATTTTCAAAACAGCTCAATCTGTAATAATTAAAAGGTGGAGTGACACAACTGTCCATCAACAGATGAATGGCTAAATTAAATGTGGCAAATTCATACAATGGAATATTAGTCGCCTGTTAAAAGGAAAGAAGAATTAATACATGCTGCAACATAGATGAACCTCATAAACATCTATGAACCTCAAAAATATTACACTAAGTGAAAGAAGCCAGTCATGAAAGGTTACATACTGTATGATTCCTCTATATAGACATCCAAAATAGGTAAATGCATCAAGACAAAAAGCAAGTTAGTGTTCCTGGGACTGAGGGGAGGGAAGTATGAGAAGTGACTGCTTAACAGACACAAGTTTTACTCTGTGAATGATGACAATGCTTTGGAATTAGAGGTAGTGATTGTACTACATTGTAAATGTACTAAATGCCATTGAATTGTATATTTTAAAATAGTTAATTTATATTATGTGAACTTCAATAAAAAATTTTAAGTGTGCAAGAGAAACTTGAATCTTCCTATGATATTAAAAAATGAGCAAATCATTTATTAAATGATGGTATCTTTATCAAATATATGTAATCACTAGAATTTATTTTCAGAGTGGCTAAGTGAAAAAACATAAAATCAAATTAAAAACTAACAGTTACCAAAAATTATATGCAAAGTATAATTTTAAACCTACTTAAGATTTGTATATAAGCATGAAATTGTTTAAATATACACATAAAAATATGAACATAAGATGAGAGATATGTACCAAGCTTAGCATTGACTATCACCAGTTAGTGGTCTTTGGTTTCTTCTTTATATTATCTTGAATTATCTTTTTTTTTACAAAAATAAAAAATGTGATTTGGTTTAACAGACATAGAATAATAAATGTAATAAAAGCAAATTTTCCTAAAAATTGGTATTTTCATCCATTCCTCTTGCTTTTAGTTCTACAAATGCTTTACAGAACAATAAAGCATTATCCTTTTTACCCAATAGGGGAGCTGCTGGTCTGCCATGAAAGCTTTGGGACTAGGTTCAGTTTTTCCATTGCTAGTCCATATCTTTTTCCATGTAGTATATTTGTCATATCCATCCTTATGGCTGAAAAAGAAAAAAATACATCAAGCTATAAGCTAATCAGGTTTTCAAAACAGGAGGCAGGTTAGCAAATCTTATGTAAAAGACTTTTATAAGGAGGGAAAACTTATTACAGCATCCATAAAACAGACTGTCAGGGATGGTGCATTCCAATCAGTTTAAATAGCTAAAACTGTCTACCCAGTTCCCTACAGGTGCCAACATCTTCCCCCAAACCTTGGCATCTGTCCCCTTATGTACTGTCGGAGAATAGCAAAGCTGCTCCTAGATTTTCCAGAACTTGCAGACTAAAAAGAATAACTATCTCATAGCAGATATTTTTGGAACCCTGAGTGTGCACACACACAAACATGAACACTAGCAAACATGCAAACTAGCAAACTACAGCATCAAAGTTCTAACACAGTTGCAATAGTGGAATAACTCAGTAAGCCTATGCACTCAGCCTTAACCATCCGACCCCTTCCACTGCCCCCACTCCCACGCTCTCTACCACAAAAACCTCCAACAATTAGCAAACAAACCTTCTGTAGTAATGGTCAAAACATTCATTACAGAAATGCTCCCCACAGGAGAGGTGATACCATCGGGAGGTATAGCCATTCTTGGCACATCTGAAAATAGCAAAAATATGTACCTTTGTTAATTAGTAACATTTCTTCTTCTCGTTTTTTAAAAAAATATGTATCAAAAACCTATGAGTCTACTTTGCATTATCTCCACTTAAAATCCTAACAACCAGGAGCTAATAACTATGGAAGTAGAATGGATGACTGACAGGTAATAATACATAGTGAGGACACAGAGACTTAGACCAGAGGACTCAACGCAGCTGGTTGCACATCAGAAGGGCCTGGGACTTAGGAGTTTTATGAAGACTACCAGGAGCCACGATAAGGTTTTAAGACATGAAACAAGGAATGTCACTGTGCTTGCTGCAAGCTGCATGTATGTGAAGGAGAGAAGTGTGGTCTCTAGTAATAACATCTGGCCCAATACTGAACAGTTAATGAATCTGGCCAGCTGGAATCTGACCCTTGAACAGGCAATCTGGCAAATACAACTTGTCAAACAGCCAATAATGTAGTTAAAGAGTGAAATCTAATGCCACCATGAACACTAACGCCACCACTCTTTGTGATTAAAAAATGAGATTTGTGTTCCAGTTTTTACTGAATCTTAAGCCTTCATTGAAGAATTTTCTCTGGAAGTAGAAGGTTATGCTTGCATCAGCCCAATAAAAATAGCAGAAGTGCAATTAGCCTCATGGTTTCAGTGAGACCTGTTTATGTCTACTGGAAGAGGAGGTATGTTATACGGGGTAGAAGTCTGGGGAAAGTAAACACCTGCTGGTCTACAGGGAGCCCTACAGTTCTCTCTACTGTGTTCCCATCCCTGACTCTGTCCCACCCTCAATCTCCAGGAGATGTACAGCTCTGGTTGGTGGGATTTGAGGATACTGACCAGCTACTGTGCAGAGCTGATTTGGCTATGTCTACCAGGGGGAGTGTATAGAAGAATGTGCTATGTACAGAATGTACAGGCAATGTCTCTATTATTAGATGACCTGCAGTATCTATATATATCTTCAGGAAAATTATCTTTGAGGATGATGTTCCGACAACACTCTCACAGGCAGGAATGTGAGGCCAAGACATGCTATCTAAACAGACCTTTCAGAAGTACTTGCAAAGCACACGGGGCACGTTGCTGTACAGCCTGCCTTTTCACATTTCCTGTACTTCTTCTCTGACCCACCATCTTCATCCTCATCTGTCATCTCCGTTGCTTTTTTCTTTGCCTGAGGAAGAATCAGCAGAGGTTAAGATTTGACCAGAATAGTCAAGGGCAAATGTGGTGGAAGGTTTACTACTGAAATGAACTCCATGTTAGGAGGAGTTCTAAACTTGAAGATCAACAACATCCTGGAAGCTGACAATATAGCAATTTCCTTGAGACTGTACTATGCAAGTAATTCACTAACTTGCTACAAATATAGAACCAGCACTTTAACGACAAGTCTCTAAGAACTAAAATGCATGTGGGCCTTTCTTAGCAAAAAGCTTTATCAGTCAAAATAAAAGCCACTCTCAACTTAGGAATTTTATTTTTTTTTTTTTTACTTAAAGCAGTTATACCCTCACAGTATTGCAGCTTAAAAAAAAAAAAACAAAAACAAAAACAAAAAAAACTAGAACAATTCTAGAAAAAGAATTACATCATTCAGGAGTTTTCTTTAGGGGAAAAAAAGCCATACGAAAGATGACAACAAGTAACCTATCAACTACAGCAGCCAACCAACTACAAGTTGAAGTCTAAATACCTATGAATGACAGCAAGCCAAGCATCATCTGGCCCCAGCTCACATCCTGGCGGCAACCACACAGCTGCGAATCTCTGAACACCCCATGTTGATTCACACTCTACACTCTTATCTTTGGAGTTCCCTCTGCCAGTATGCTTTTTTCTATATTCTATGACTTTATCACTTTGTACTGTGATTGTCATAGGGTGAATTTCTCAACTAGACTACAAGTTTCTTGAAGACTGAAATTATATCTTTTCTTTTCCAATTCTTCAGTCTCAATCAGACTAATTCTCTGTGCTCAAAACAGATGCACCAAACGAACAAATGAATAATACCTGCCTACCGGAACTCCTCAAAGGAAGACTATCTGGAGAATGATCAAAAGACGCTTTTTTCTTTGTTCTCCCCCGTGGGGTTGCCATTGTAACAGAAAATCTGCAAAATAAATAGATAGATAGATAGATAAATGGTTAAATATTAGCATTAGCTAATACGTTCAACACTCCGGAGCAAAGTTCTTTGGCAGTTTTCGTAGGTAATAGTATATGCTCTGCAGTTAGTCTGCCTGAGTGTGAAGCTATTGCTTTCAAGTTACTTAACCTAAGACCTCAATGTTCTTATATATAAAATGGACATAGCAAGAGTCTACCGTAGCACTGGTATGAAGATTAAGCAAAATAACCCATTTAAAGCACTAGGCCTGGCATATTATAAGTACTCAAAAAATGTTATCCATTAGTAGTATGTACATTTAAAAATATATATATTAAAAAAATCACATGAATAACCAATAAACAAATTACATTACTGTTTGAAAAATTCAATGAGTAAAATCACCTAGTTTTTGTCTTTCTCTCCATCTTACTGTGTCTTCCTAGTAGTTCCTCAATTTTGACCTACTATACTTAAAAAGAAAACTCATTCTCTTTTCTCAGTAAAACCCAACAAATAAATGTCAGGCACACCTTCTAGTCACTACCAAATATAGGAATCTGAGTGACATAGTTAATGCTGGAAAAATTTTATGATTTCTTAAACTAGACTAATAACAGCATGGTTAAACAAACATTAAGAACCAAAGTCTACAGAGAAAATAATGCATGGGAACCATGAAAGAGTGAGTTATCAAATTTTTTAATTAAGTTAGATAAGGAATGAAAATGCTTAGAAGTAAATACTCAAAAATACATGGATTTTACAATTATCACACATCTCTTTACCCAATCCATTGTATTTACTACATACTTACACACTCACACAAAATAGCACAGAAAATAAATAAGGCATACCTATGGATAAGGAATTTGAAAGTGGAAAAGTGTTATCCTAAGATACAAATTCCACATACAGGCATACCTCAGAGATATTGTGGGTTTGGTTCCAGACCACTGTAATGAAACAACTATTGCAATAAAGTGAGTTGTAATCTTTTTCTGGTGGAGATATTGCCTACAATCAGCAAAAAAAAAAAAATGCAACACCTGTGAATCGCAATAAAATGAAGCACAATAAAATGAGGTATGCCTGTATGTAATCTTCATCTTGGAAAAAAGCTTTTTGAGGGGCTTGTAATCCCATTGTTTCCTATCTGTGAGTTCTACCAATACTTGTAAGAACATTTTTCATGGAGAATTAACATCGTGCATGAAAACTTTCAGTTTGCCAGCTACATCAACTGTGAGAAATCTTGACACCAATGTTGATTTTTCTTTCACTACTCTTCATTTTCTCAAAACCATTATCCTAGTTGTGAACACTTAAATTCTATACATATTCTGAAATGCATTATAGTTCTTTAAGGATTAAATAAATTGCCATTTAGTTCTACAGCACTCCTGATACTGCTGGATAAACATTAATAATGTTAAAAGTACTACTGCCTACCTATCATTTTTAAACCTAAAGGCGGCTTTTTGGATCACATTTGTATTTCCAAAAGGCTGTCCAATCTAACAAATCTCTTTATATAAAATATATATCTCATGTTATTCACAAAATGATCACAATTAAGGTATATGTAAAAATAGTATTTGTGAATGTACAGTATATGTTAAGTATTGCAGCAATAACATCTGAGTCTAATGTGGGGTTATCAGCCTAGATTCATGCAACATTTGACCCTGTCATCTAGGAATGCAAGCATTCACAAGAAAAAGCATAATTTCTGGAAATTTTTCACCCAACATTTAGGTCCAACTGTATACTGGAAAGTATGCATTTAATTGCAATAATGATGTAAATCAAGAAATAATTAAGAGGAAATGAAAACATTAGCTATAAAAGCTATTATTAAATCTGTTGTCGGGGAAAAAACATGATTTTTAGGGTAGTGCATTTCCACTTTTAATTATACAATTAACAGTTATGTACCCTCATCCTTTTTTGAAACTTTCTGTAATTTCTGTATTTTCACTGTTGCTAGATTCTTAGTTCTTAAAATGGAAGGAAAAATTTTAAGTAAAGTTGGAAGGGCTGTAGTTTTTGTGCTTTTAAGTATAATCTTAGAAATACTGATTAAAAGTGTCATTAAAACAAATTAGTATACTGAAAGTGCTTTCCCATCTGGTTTTTCAAATTAACAAACACACCTAATATTAAATATAATCAATTTGTTTTATGTTCTATATAATTTTATAAGCATAGTTCTTAATTTTAAATTCCTAGCTTTGGCTTTCTTTTAATGTAATCAAAAAATATATAAGTAAACATATAAATGGATATATCCATATCTAGATTTCTATTTTAATAATTCCCAGAATTTTCTGAAGTAGCTTATTCAAAAAGTTTTTAAAAAGTGTTCATAAAAATATGAATCGAAATGACTCCAGGTTGGAATAAAAATTTATAGTGGCATCAGCATAATTTCTAAAAATAAGACAAACTCCTAGAAACTTATTTAAACAGAAACAGCAATTTCCCTTTGGGCCATTTAAAATAAGGAAGGACTAGCACCTTACTGCACCCACACTAATCAAATTTTCCAAAATATGGATCCCGTTCAACTGCCGGAATACTTTGATTACTTTCCCTGCCTGGAAGACAATTAATTATTGATGGTCATTTTTTCATGTACCTCCTGAAGAAACCTTCCTTCTCACTTGCCTATCTTCCACTACAATAGATTAAGAAAAAGAAAAAGCCTGGAGTTATGTGTGTGTATGTGGAGTGATGGATCTCCCCAAATGGACTGTTCTATGGACTCTTGCACGCTCACCCAAGGGAAGCCTAGGCCTCTATCTGGCTAGGTTCCAAATCACCGAACCCCAACTTTCTACAGCTGGGCCTGCCACTTCCTTCCTGTTTCACCTGCCATCTGCCAGCTGGCAGGCTGTTGACTAACAGCTACCGTCATCGGGCCGCCCCCTTTGGGTCCCCAGTCCCAGAGGAGTTACCCCAGCAACCTGGCAATGCCGATCGTATCTCAACGCGTGGTGGCCGTGCTGGAGCATTACCACACCTGCAACGCAGTGCCGGCTCCTCGCCGCCACACTCTCGCTGGGAATAATAAGCTAGGGAGTTCCTACTCCGACTGTGGGTTTTCTCTGACGAAGACCACACAACTCCCAAGTGACAGGGCTATAATAGTCCCCAGGAGGGAACCCCAACATTCCCTGTGCCAGCTGCAGCCGCCTCGCTTTCCGAAAAGCTTTCTCGTTTGTTCTCCGAAGTCGGAGAAGCAACAGCCTCTGGGGCTCACCTGAACGCTGAAGAGGTGCAAGGAGTCGCGGGGAGAAGGCACCGCTGTGCAGAAAAGAAAAAACATGGTAGGGGGTTAGGAGAGACCCGCAACACCACGACGAATTGGAGAACCCCGTCACCGCAATACCCCAGCCGGAGAATTCCTCTTCCTCAGACAGGGCTCTCTACCCCGCATCCCGCTTCCAATCGGGGTGAGGTATCAGCCCCTAGAGCATCCGTTCACCTCCCACCCGGGCGAGGGGCGCTGCACAGGAGGAGGGCTTGCACCCCAGCCAAGCTGCTTTGTGCATAGCTGTCACCCGAAATCCACCGCCGCTCCCACGCCCGCCCCCGGAGCCGCGTGCGCCCCACCTCGGAGCGCGTGTGAGACAGTGCGCGCCGCCCCGGGCTGCGGGCGCCTCTCCGGAGCTGCGCGCCACGCGCACAAGACTGAAGGATCTGCGCCGCGAGATGCAGCCCTCGCTCGGCCGCCGCCGCCGCCGCCGCTGCTGCCGCCGCTTCCGCCCCTGTGACGGCGTGACCCGGGGTGGGAGGAGCCGGCGGGAGCAGGGAGGAGTAGGGTCCCCGCCTTCGGCTTTGCCGCCGCGCTCGCTCCGCCTTAGCCATTTCCGCCGCTGCGCCAGCCAGAGCGTGTGGGGAGGGAGCGGGCTGTGGGCGCCGGGGAGGGG